GGAGAATGATGTGATTGACTTGACCCATTCCGTTAGCTTAGCACTCGATCGTTTAGTATGTTGCTATTGCTTTCTTCATGACTTATACATGTTCCTATGACTATGAGATTATGCAACTCCCGTTTATCGGAGGAACACTTTGTGTGCTACCAAACGTCACAACGTAACTGGGTGATTATAAAGGAGCTCTACAGGTGTCTCCAAAGGTACATGTTGGGTTGGCGTATTTCGAGATTAGGATTTGTCACTCCGATTGTCGGAGAGGTATCTCTGGGCCCTCTCGGTAATGCACATCACCTAAGCCTTGCAAGCAATGCAACTAAATGAGTTAGTTGCGAGATGATGTATTACGAAACGAGTAAAGAGACTTGCCGGTAACGAGATTGAACTAGGTATTGATATACCGACGATCGAATCTCGGGCAAGTAACATACCGATGACAAAGGGAACAACGTATGTTGTTATGCGGTCTGACCGATAAAGATCTTCGTAGAATATGTGGGAGCCAATATGAGCATCCAGGTTCCGCTATTGGTTATTGACCGGAGACATGTCTCGGTCATGTCTACATTGTTCTTAAACCCGTAGGGTCCGCACGCTTAAGGTTTTGATGACAGTTATATTATGAGTTTATGAGTTTTGATGTACCGAAGTTGGTTCGGAGTCCCGGATATGATCGCGGACATAACGAGGAGTCTCGAAATGGTCGAGACATAAAGATTGATATATTGGACGGCTATATTCGGATACCGGAAGTGTTCCGGGGAAGTTTCGGATAAAACCGGAGTACCGGGGGGTTACCAGAACCCCCCGGGGGGTTAATGGGCCTCATGGGCCTAAAGTGAAGAAGAGGAGGGGCTGCCAGGGCAGGCCGCACACCCCCTCTCCCCCTAGTCCGAATTGGACAAGGAGGGAGGGGCGGTGCCCCCCCTTTCCTTCCTCTCCTCTCTCCCTTCCTTCCCCCTCTCCTACTTGGACAAGGAAAGGGAGGGGAGTCCTACTCCCGGTAGGAGTAGGACTCCTCCTGCGCGCCTCCTACTAGGGCCGGCCGCACCCCCCCCCTTGGCTTCTTTATATACAGAGGTAGGGGGCACCCCTAGACACACAAGTTGATCCACGTGATCGTTTTCTTAGCCGTGTGCGGTGCCCCCTTCCACCATAATCCTCGATAATATTGTAGTGGTGCTTAGGCAAAGCCCTGCGACAGTTGAATATCAAGATCGTCACCACGCCGTCGTGCTGACGGAACTCTTCCCCGACACTTTGCTGGATCGGAGTCCGGGGATCGTCATCGAGCTGAACATGTGCTGAAACTCGGAGGTGCCGTAGTTTCGGTGCTTGGATCGGTCGGATCGTGAAGACGTACGACTACATCAACCGCGTTGATATAACGCTTCCGCTGTCGGTCTACAAGGATACGTAGATCACACTCTCCCCTCGTTGCTATGCATCACCATGATCTTGCGTGTGCGTAGGAAATTTTTTGAAATTACTACGTTCCCCAACATTCCTTTCTCTCTTTTGATTCTCAATACAATGGTCTTTTGGAGATCCATATGATGTAACTCTTTTTTGCGGTGTGTTTGTTGGGATCCGATGAATTTTGAGTTTATGATCAGATCTATCTTTTTATCCATGAACGTTATTTGAGTCTTCTTTGATCTCTTATATGCATGATTACTTATAGCCTCGTATTTCTTCTCCGATATTTGGGTTTTGTTTGGCCAACTTGATCTATTTGTTTTGCAATGGGAAGAGGCGCCTTGTGATGGGTTCGATCTTATGGTGCTTGATCCCTGTGACAGAAGGGAAAACCACACGTGTGTATCGTTGTTATTAAGAATAACAAGATGGGGCCTATTTGTACATAAATAGATCTTGTCTACATCATGCCATCGTTCTTATTGCATTACTCTGTTTCTTCATGAACTTAATACACTAGATGCATGCTGAATAGCAATCGATGTGTGGAGTAATAGTAGTAGATGCAGGCAGGAGTCTGTCTACTAATCTTGGACGTAATGCCTATATAATGATCATTGTTTGGATATCGTCATGATTATTTAAAGTTTTATCAATTGCCCAACAGTAATTGGTTTACCCACCGTTTGCTATTTTTCTCGAGATAAGCCACTAGTGAAATCTACGGCCCTCGGGCTTCTTCTTTATTATTTTTGCCGTCGTGATCTACTTTTATTTGCTTTTATTTTCAGATCTATTAAACTAAAAATACAAAAATACCTTGTTGTAATTTATTCTTATTTATTTTATCTCGCGTTTCCGCGAGATTTATTTATCCAATTTATCATATTTTTATCCCGTCTTTTTGCCAATTTCTGGCGCCGTTGCCCGAAAGGGATTGACAACCCTTTAATATGTCGTGTTGCGAGTATTTTGTTATTTGCGTGCAGGTGCCATTTACGTAGTGTTGCGTGGTTCTCCTACTGGTTCGATAACCTTGGTCTCATTACTGTGGAAAATACCTACTGTTGTTGTGCTGCATTATCCCTTCCTATTTGAGAAAATACCGACGTAGTTCAAGCAAACATCACCTTTGCGATCTATTTTTATTTGATTTTATTTCCAGATCTATTAAACCAAAAATGTAAAAATATCTTGTTGCAATTTATTCTTATTTATTTTATCTTGCATTCCCACGAGATCTATTTATCCAATCTACTACAATTTACCTATCTTTTTGCCCGTGAGGGATTGACAACCCCTCTCTTACGTCGGGTTGCAAGTATTTGTTTTTTGTGTGCAAAAGTTGTTTACGTGGTGTTGCGTGGTTCTCCTACTGGTTCGATAACCTTGGTCTCATCACTAAGGAAAATATCTAGCGTTGTTGTGCGGCATCATCCCTTCCTCTTTGGGGAAATACCGACGTAGTTCAAGCAAACATCAGCGACCGAAGGAATTATCTCAAGCATGTCTCGTCTAGATCTACGCGGCTAGCACCGGTGCAGTTGCAACATGTGCTCCGCTGTCGGTGCTAGTCCATGCAATAGTAGGCAACGATTGTGCGTCGAATAAGGCCTCTACTGCCTGGATTATGCTTGTGGCGGCACCCTCCATGTGTCTAACACCATTCGACAATTGCATTTATCCTTTAGACCTGGCCATGGCAGCACAAGTCAGCCAGTCGAGTTGCATTTTTTGGTGGCCACTGAAGCGTCTTCGTGAGGGTTCCTCTCCATAGATCATGTGGCTGCCGCGGGCGGCTCGTGTTGGCGAGGTTGCATGATGCACCCGAAAGGCCCCTTTGTTAGTTTTGGTAACTCTCACTCTGATAAGCTTGCCTTGATGGTGAGATGCAATCTATGGACGATGAGTTAACACAGAGGTATGACTGTGCAGTGGCGATGGCGGGATTTCTAGCCCAACACATGTAGCTGCTCGGATTGCGAAAAGTGGTGGCGACAATGCACGACTGATTTTTATTTGGTGTGCTTTCTAAGTACCATGTCTTGAACTCTGGGGTGCAAACACTAGGTATGACCTGAGTTGGTTATAACTGACAATGATGATGTTTTTGCGTTGTTATCTTGTTAACGACGTTGTTTGGATATGCCTGGACTTGTTCTTCAGGGTAAAAAGCTTGAATCCGGCCTTTGGTGATTGAATCCGGTGACAACGACAGTTGAGCATCATTTCCTTCTTGAAGCCGTTATTGTTTAAGACCTTTCTCGTTCTCATTCTGGTATCAAATATAGTTGGTGCGGATATGGTCGTTGTTATAATTTGTCAAGCTGTTTTGATGACTTCGTCTTTTATATTTTCTTGCTTATGCATAGATTTATCTTGTATGACTTTGCTCTTTCTTATTATTATTTTTACAGCAACCACCTATTTCATTTCACAAATAGAAAATCAAGTTACATAATCAACCACATGTGAAAACTGAAAGACTAACCAAGAAAACAAGATTGTCCTGAAAACTTTGGATATAGAACCCTAAGAGATAGAAAAATACAAAACTATCCCTTGGGTTTCCTGCACTCGGCGAAGCCAGCAACCGCGGCCCAATTCCAGCGACGTCAAGGCGCACGTGCGACGGAGTCGATGAGCCTCCACCATTACCAGATTCAAAGAAGCACCATCGCCAACGAGGCTTCCTAAGTCGATGAACAGGACTGCTACAAGGAACGAGGCACATGTCGTTGTGGCACGTCGACCGAGGGAGGCCCCCGTGCTACCTTGAATCTAGATCCGCCGCATCCCATCGACGAGGTTGGGGAAGAACGAAAGATCCACCACCATCGGACCAACCTCCTCGCTCCATAACATCCGTCACCCTGGCCGCCAGCGCCGCCGCGAATGGCGACAAACGCCGACGACACACATAAACAAATCTCGCCTCTTTGCCGTTGTTTTTGTTTTGTGTGTACATAGAGGCGGAGTGTGTGTTCATTGCATTTGTATCCCTCTTGGATGCTTTGTTTTAATTGTAAGTTATACTAATAAAATCTACTGTGCCTTCGTTTTTCTTTTACCCCAAAATTTACCTTCGTCGAAAAGATAATAATCCACATGGCAATGACCCAGTTCTTTTTCATCACCGCAGTTTTCACCGCCTCCTTTGCTCCTGTCTCCTGAGCTGAGCGGCAGGATCCCGATCCAAAAGACGACCGGACCCTCGCCCTCGCGTATGCCGGTTTCGACCTCACTTTGCCCCGCTGTGCTGGACCGCCTCCCTCCTCTTCCCTCCCACCCCAAATCCCAAACC